ACGATTTACGTGATATATATACATTATAGATAGAGTAATGGATTGCGTATACGACGAGGTAAAAGAGTTCGTAATACAAAAACAAAGTCATCGCCGGCTCTTTCAATATATCTCTTTGTCATTTTTGTCCACTTGATTGGAGCATAATTCTGTGCGCTAAAGTTTACTCGTCATTACTACGTGTAATGTTTAGTGTTTAAGCAGAAAGTAAACATTTGCGGAATACGTATTTCGTTTAAATAATAAAAGAGATGAAAAAAGGAAAAAAAATGAATAGTTAAAAAAAAAATAAAAAACCCTCCTACGTAACAGATTGAAAGTATAAATGTGCCTTGGGTGCAAATTTATTCGAGTTTTAAATGTGAGGATAAATCGAAAGAGCGGCGAATGAGTTTTTTCAAAAAATTTCTGACAATAAGCGTACACGTGCTCCTCCTACGCACTTGGAGTTGTGACTTTATCAATACAGTTATCAGACAATTGACAACAAAATATTGTTACATTTAAGTTTGTTTAAAAAAAAATCGGTAATAAGGAAACATTGGCTGATGAATCTCAGAAGTTATTGAGTATTTTACGAGAAAGTATACTTACCAAAATTTAAAAATTCAATGATAATCTTTCGTTGATTGAACCATAATATAATGGTTATTAAAGCGAGAAATTTTACCAGCAAAAAAGGTATTATGGATAAAACGATAAAAATTGTATGTGATTCCAAGTGCAATAGGGGAATTTTTTTCTCAAAGTTAAAACGAATATTCATTAATCCACAAGCTATATTGCAAAGAAATAAATAATTCGGTGAACCACAAGTAAATTACATTATTTTCCAAATAAATATTGCTAGGAAATACTTGTACTTGGGTTCGGTAATTACTAAAAAGTAAAACCATGCCGTCGAAGATATATTAAACATTCGTTGATATTTCGAGCTCAAAAAANTAATATGTACACGTACACTCGAGCTCGTGTTATATTATATACCGATAGTTCTTTTTTTTTTTTTTTTTTTGTTTTTACGCGTGTCACAGGTGAACTTTGCCCACATTTTCATCCCGTCGAACCTGAGCTACCCATCGATACGAGTCCTGCCCGAATTCAAGCGACTGGCCCACGGACTCCGCAGCGACAACATCACGATCCTCGACAGTAAAACCTTCTACATACCCAATTTGCACTACGACGGCGCAGGACCGGACGCGTACTTTTGGGTCGGCAGGGGCAACGAGCCCAACCAGTACGGCATGAAGATACCCAACGAAGTCAACAAGTAACAATATACATATATAAGTCCAGACAATAAAGGGAAAAACTCCCAATCACCGAGCGCATAACTCGGGGCCAAGTGTGCGAGAGTAACGCGAATTTTATTGCATGTGTGTCGCAGAACGAGCCCCCTCAACGGCTACGAGGGCGTGGACATCGAGGTGGTGTTGCCCGGCAACCTCACCGTCTACGACATCGACTACCTGGCCGTGTGGTGCGTCCAATACAAGCACAACTTTGGCCATGTGCTCATACCCAAGGACCTCGACGTCCCACCGGCTCTCGGACAAACCAAGATCGCGGTACTTTGCGTTCATTTGCCTTTTTTTCCTTTTTTTTTTTTTCCTTCATCCACACAACAATTCTATACCATACCATTGCAACACGCTGTGCCTTGTATATAGGTATAACATACTGCCTACATTGTCCAAGGGTGCCTTTTTTCGCCGTCACATTTTTACATTAGTCTCCCATTCAACCATACAATAATATATATATATGGAGCAATTGTGTGTAGATTAATTATCCATACGAGGGGGGCACTTGTAAAATAATAATCTATGGGCATAGTTTCACAAAGATAATACAAATCACGAGTATAGCTAGCAACCATAATATGGTAAACATGACATTGTGTGACAATAATGATAATATCACGTCGAATTATCTTCATTGCATGCCCCACGGAGTAGCCGGCTTGGTGGTACGTCCCTGTGAGTATTTTTGAGATCACCAGAAGGGAAATTTTGTAGATGTGTTTAAATATACATTTTATTGATCGATCGCTTCTTTTCTTTTATTTTCATTGCGTTAATTTACATTTGTTTTCAACAATTATATACATCGGTGTTTGTTTGAGTGTTTCGCGCTCGCTCGTCCACGCGTCTCAGTCTCACGATAGTTAACATTGTTCTCTCGAATCGTCATGTCCATGCATCGTATTGTAAATCTTTTTTTTTTTTCCTTCTCAATAGTTTCGACGAGATGTAATTTACTTGATGTCAGTCTTTCAAAGTGATTGTGTTTTTTTGTCTTTTCCTATGATTTACTTTGCAGCTCTAAAATATTGTCGTCCAGGTTATACGTGAAACTTACGAATTTTCTTCTTAAAAAAAAAAAAAAAAAAAAAAAAAAAAAAAAAAAAAAAAAAAAAAA